CCGGAGCAGCCACAGAGAAGGCCCTCCCCCGGGGAGTTGCCAGCCAACACTGGCCGGCAGATGGGATTCAGAGGAGGCCTAGTCTGTGGGATCTAATAGGTCTTTGGGAGGTTTCCCTTCTTGGTTTGCCCATTCTTTATTCCAGTGCTTGGCCTAGCCAAGCCATTCCAGTCTTCACTCCACTAAGTCATATGAGCAGCTTTTACCATCTTCCTCAGCTACTTTTCTCTTCTTTGACTATCAAGCCACTTTCCTCTGTTGTCCATCCTCCCCAACCACAAAGTGTACTAGAGTTACAGAGCAGTGGCTCTGTGTTTTTGTTAAAGAGCAACTTTTGAGTATCCGGTAGAGCAGAGCAGAAGTTACATTTGGCAACTGTAGTCTTCGCAAATGGTCTTTTTTACGATGTGACAAAGTATTATCATTTCTTCTATAGACTAATATAATGTGGGGTGTGAGATATACATATTAATATTTAGGGGGCCCTTTGGGATGTGTTATCCTGGACCTCCACCTGGTGGTATAATTCTATCAGTGCCACCGTTTCTACTCATTCGGCATAATCTTTAGGGGGGGAAGAACCTTAATATACTTGTTTTCTTTTCTTTGGTTTCTTATTTATCTTGACTTATCTTTATATAACTTTAATTAGTATGGTAATCTCAAAAAGCTAAGCAAAGATAGATCGGATTGAAAAGATCTCAAAAAGCTAAGCAAAGTTAGATCTGGTTGAAAAGATTGCTAGGAGACCACCCCGGGGCTGCAGGCTTGCCTGGGAAGTTGAGAAAACATGCCAGTGGAAACAAATAGCAAACCAATTCTGCATTGTTGTTCCCATTTACCCAGGGACCAGTTCGGACTGGTAGTAGTAAAAAATGCTATCTGTTCGGGCGAACCAGTATTTCCGATGATCAGCTGGGTGACGATCAGCTGTGACGTGAGATTTACTCTAGCTGGAATCATCAGATTTCTTGCTTTCTAGCTAATCTAAATCACGTGGCACAGCGGATCCCCCCCGCCTCAGACTCGGAAGGCTTCAAAATGTTCCTTTTTTAGCGCTTTGCGAGTGCGCTTCATGCATGCATGTGCACAAAGTTCACATGCGTATGCAAAACGTGCACTCAAACCGGTAGCAGATTTCAGAGGATTTCACCGCTGCATTTACCTACATGGGCTTGTCTACAAAGTCACCTGGAAGTGAACCTGACTCAAAGATTTCTTCATTTGTTAACTTAATGCATTTTCCACATTCTGTTCCTTCAATTAAGGATATCATTAATGTTGAGTCCTTAAAAGAGGTTCAGGAATGTAAAATGATCTTTCTCTTTCCTTCACCTATGTCCTTTTTACTGCTTCCTATATCAGTGTAATTGTTTCTCTGTTGTTTTTTTTGTTCAGCTTAAATCAATAGCTCACTAAGTGGTGTGGACAACTGAAATAAATCTTGGGATTAATTTTTAATTTATTTCTTTTAGAATGAAATGAAACCTCTGAACATTCTGAACCATACTTTCTCCTCCATGGGTAAAGCCTGGGGAAACCATCCCTCTTACACACAAGGCAGCAGTGGTGGGAACCTGCCGGTTTAACAACCAGGTTGGTGATTGTGAGTTTCCAGTCCCTGACGTACACTGCACACGCATGTGTGGTTTTACCAAAATTTACCTTCCATATTTCTTCTTGGGGAGTAACACAGCTGAGGCACGACAATCCGCTCCGCAGTGCCAATTAGCTGAGAGGATATAGGTAAGTGTTCTGACCCCCTCCTCCGTCCAGTAACGAATGCCGAGACAAGCTTAAATGGAATGTCCTTTAATAACAAGACACCAAAACCTCGGTGGCTAAAAGCCAAGAAAAACGAACAGATAAGGAC